AGAAAAAATATATAATTGGATCCTTAACTACACATATGCAAAATTTAACTCCAGGTAGATTAGTGACCTAAATTTCAAATACTAAGTTTTAAAACTTTTAGTAGACTCTAGAGGTGAGTATCTCTTAGAGTCTATAATTTAGACCTTAAGGAAAGAAGATAGTTCTTAAAGACACACACACATACACACTGGATTTGAGTACTTTGAAATTAAGAATTTTGTTCATTAAAGGCATTTAAAAAGAGACAAGTTACAAACTCAGGAGATATTTTCAGTATACCCAAGAAAGGATAAGCATTAAAAATTCCTTCAAATCTACAAGAAAAGCACATATAACCTAAGAGAAAGATAGGCAAAAGATATTAACAGGCTTCTTCTTTTCAGAAGAAGAAACACATACGGTTAATAAAATATGAAGAAATGCTCAGTCTTATTGCTTGGGTAAATGCGAATTAGGACCACATTGAGCTAACACTTTGATTGATGAAAAGTCTGGAGAAGCAAGTGCTGAAGAGGAAGTGGGTCCTCTCGTGTGTCACCTACACCGTGCTGGTGGGAGTGCGGGTCCATGTGTCTACTCTGGAAAAAAATGTTTGACATTATCTTTTAAAACTGAATATTCACACAACTGTGAATGAAACATTCTGCTTTTAGGAATGGACCTGAGAAGGCCAAAGAAAGCTCTCACACATCTCTAACAGGAGACACGAGCAAGAACGTCCCCAGCAGACCTGGAAGCAACCCCATCGCCCATTAGTGAGAAATCAAAGTGTGGTATATTCACACACTGTAATATACAATAGTGAAGGTAAATGAACTACATACATAAACATGGCTGAATGTTTCTAACCAGGATACATTAAGTAAAATGTTTCTACCCACATTACTTAATGTATCTACCCACGATACATTAAGTAAAAGAAAAGTCTCAAAAGGATACAAAGGCACGATCTCCTTTTGCAACAGACTTATTTTTTAGAGCAGTTTTAGGTTTACAGAAAAAGTACAGGAGTTACAAAGTTCCAATATACATTCTTCCCACCAGCATAGTTTCCCCCTTCATTAGTCTCGTTTATGTGGCCCATTTGTTGCAACTGATAAACCAATATTGTTATACTACTAATGGAAGTCCATAGTTTATATTAGGATTCACTTTGTGCTGTGTGCTTCTCCGCAATGTCACATAGTTGGACTCATACAGTGCGTAGCCTTTGAAAACTAGCTTCTTTCACTTGGCAGCATGCATTTAAGAGTCCTCCATGTCTTTTTGTGGCTAGACAGCTCATTTCTTTCTGTCACCAAATAACATTCCATTGTCTGGATGCACTAGCTTACCCATTCACTTATGGAATCTTGGTTGCTCCCGATTTTTATGAATAAAGCTGCCGTAATCATTCATGTGCTGGTTTAAACATGGACGTGTTTTTAACTCACCTCGGTAAACATGTTGGAACTATGTTTAGCTGTGTAAGAAACTGCCTAAATAGCTTCCCAAGTAGCTGTACCATTCTGTATTCCCACCAGCAATGAATGAATGGCTGTTTCTGCACATCCACACCAGCATTTGGTGTCAGTGTTTTGGATTTTAGCCATTTTAATAGGTGTGTAGTGGGCATATTCTTCTGATTACATCAAAAACAATTTAGCCCTGGCTGAGTAGCTCAGCTGACTGAGTAGCTCAGCTGATTAAAATGCTGTCTCGAAAAAAAAAAAAATGCTGTCTCGATACACCAAGGCTGAGCGTTCAATCCCCAGTAAAGACACATACAAGAATCAACCAATAAACTAAAAAAAAAAGGCAGCCCTGACTGGCTGTAGCTCAGTGAGTTGGGCATTATCCTGCAAATCAAAATGTCACTTTTGATTCCCAGTCAGGGCACATGCCTGGGTTGCAGTCTACATTCCCAGGTGTGGGCACATGAGAGGCAATCAATTGATGTTTCTTTCCTTATTTTTTTCCCTCCTCCTCCCACTCTAAAAAAAAAAAATTAACCAATGAATGCATAAATAAGTGGAATAACATGTTTCTCCCTTCCTCTAAAATTAGTAATGAAATAAAAAATTAACAATTCAAAAATACAGATGTACCACTTTTTAGGAATATATCTATCTGTATATATGGTATAAAACTTTGTAAAAGGGAAAACAAAGAGTGGTAAAGACACAATTCAGGATGATGGTTAGCCCAGGTGAGGAGAGGCAGAAGGATAAGTCAGTGTGCGTGGAAAGCAGATACAGCCCTGGCTGCTGTGGCTCAGTGGGCTGAGTGCCAGCCTGCAAACCAAAGGGTTGTGGGTTTGATTCCCAGTCTAGGACCCATGCCTGGGTTTTGGGCCAGGTCCCCAGTGGGGGGTTATAAGAGGCAGCCACACATGGATGTTTCTCTTCCTTTTTCTCCTTCCCCTCTCTAAAATTAAATAAAGTATTAAAAAAAAAGTAGATGTAATTGCTGCCATTACAACTTTTTTAGGGTGGAGGGTTCACGGCTATTTTTACGTCATTTAAAGGCATGTAACTTAATAAAGGTGGGCGTGGTAGGCTGCCTACTGCCCACCAAAGACGTGTATGCCCTAATCTCCCGGACCAGTAAAAATGTCCTGGTAGAAGGGGCTATGCTGATGTGATTAGGGTTCTTGAGATGGGGAGACCGTCTGCGTCCAGAGTGATCACAAAGGTCCCCCCTTGTGTATGGCGTAACACATGGACACTGACAACACTGTGGTGACAGCCAGAGGGACAGGGGTGAAAGCAGCGGGAGGTGGGCGAAGGGGGTATAAATGGGGATGATGGAGACTTGCTTTGGGTGATGGGCACTCACATGTGGGGCGCAGATGACTTCCTGTTGAGTGGTACACTTGAAACTTGCATGCTTTTGTGAGCGGGTATCACCCCAATAAATCCAGTTTAAAAAACCAAAAATACAAACATACAGACAAACATAAAGTGTCCTTCCCTGTAAGTCAAAGAGGCAGGACTATCAGTCAGAAAGAGCTGGAAAGCCTGAAGCAGAGGTCAGAGGGGACAGATGCTGCTGGTTTTGAAGACAGAAGGAGCCAATTGCCAAGGGATGCAGGTTGCCTCTAGAAGCTGGAAAAGGCCAAGACCCATTCTTCTCTAAACTTCAGAAGAAACCAGCTCTGCCATGACCTTGATTTCAGCGAAGGGAAACTGATTTCAGACTTCTGATCTCTAGAACTATAAGATAACACATTCCTGTTGTAAGCCACTTAGTTTTCTATAGCAGCGATAGGAAACTACTAGGAGTGGGGCGGGCATGGATCAAAGACACACCGAATTACGGTAAGTACAGCTGTATACCTAGATCCAATTAAAAAAAACCAAACAACTAAAACCTTTGAATAGCCTGGAAAACAAAGCCCAAACTCACCTGCTCCATATAAACCCTTAACAAATGCCTGCCCTCCTAACTCAGCTCAAGATCCCTAATCCATGCCCCACTCCTCCCTCTGAAAAATAAAAATAAAAAATTCCAGCCCTGGCTGGTGTAGCTCAGTGGATTGAGCGCGGGCCTGTGAACCACATGATCGCGGTTCGATTCCCAGTCAGGGCACATGCCTGGGTTGCAGGCCAGTTCCTAGCAGGGGACGCACAAAAGGCAACCATACATTGATGTTTCACTCCCTCTCTCCTTCCCCCCTTCCCAAGATAAATAAATAAAATCTTAAAAAAAAAAAATTCAAGCCATACAGTTTAGCCACGAGGCTTGGGCTCTGAGCCCCTTTGCTGTTCCCACTGACTCTCAGTGGGGCCCAATGCCACGGTCTCTTTGGAGCCTCCCGTGTAGGAATCCACCCTCCCCGGCTCACTGACATTTTACAACAACGCTTTTGCTGCACTGTTGGCACCTCTTACAGAGTTCGAGTTCGGGTTCAGTGGGACCAGCAGCGCACAGCTCGGGACTGAAAAACCTGTCTTCACCATCACTCTTCACTAAGATACAAGAGCAAGTACGAACTTGATACCGTTCTTGTAAAGAGGCTTTCTTTCCACCATTTCTAAAGAGTGGTGAAAAGAAAGCGTACACTTTAACTGCGTGATGAAGAAAAAAAATCCTCGAGGGCTACAGAGCCAGTTTGAACGTGGCTTCCCGCATTTTTCAGCAAGGCTTCATTCCGTCCACAGGACAGATCTGTATAAACACAACCTTAAGTCTGTGCACATCGCTGCCCAAAGGGTTTTTTTTTTTTTTTCCACTCTAAGAATTAAATAAGGGGTTAGGAGGGTATTACCACCGCACCTTGCGCTGACTCATGACCTCATTTTAATGGAGGAAGGACTGTTCCTCTTACCGACTTAGCCAAGGGAATAATGGATGGGGCAACCTTTTGAAACTTGTAAGGTATTCTACAAAGCAGGCTACCGAGACTAGGACCTACTTGCGGGAAAACGAGCCCGAAGGACGCGGCCGGCCCCAGGGAAGCCCGAGGAGAGCCCGGAGAGTGCAACAACTCCCAGGTCATTCCCGGCCCGAGGCCCGACTTGGCTTCTCAGGCCTGTCGCGCGGGACGGCGGTTGATGACTACGGGCCGGACGTTCTAATAGAGGGCCGTAAAGACCTGCCAATTCGGACGCCATGCGGAGCCAGAGCACTGACTGCGCCGCAGTTGAAGAAACCGCTCTCTGGGCTAGATGGAGGCGGAGCAGCAGCTCCGGTGGAGCCAACGGAGGAGTCTTAAAATGCCTGTAGCAGGCCTCGGACCGCCCCCAGGGCCAGGCACTCTGGGACTCGTAGTTTATATCCCGGACAGCTTTTCTGCCCACCTCGTTGGCCTGCCTTTTTACATCGCCTTTATTCTCGCCCTCAACTCCCAGCACGCCGACTTCCTGGTCACCGCACGTCTTCTCGTACGACTACACTACCCAGAAGTCTCTTCTTCGCATCCCAGCGCAGCGCCTGTCTGCTTTGGACTACAGTTCCCAGAAGTCCTCTGGAGAAGTGCTGCCCTCTTCCGTTTCCAGGACCACAATATCCAGAGACTTCAGTTTCACGGCGATTGTATTCTTACTTTATCTCTTCTTGAGCTGGCCAGGCTTCAAGCGGCCAAGAGGCGCACAGCGACGACGTGGCCCCTCTTAACCGGACACGGGTCCCCTCAGCGACCCTTTTTCCCCCTCACCCAGTTATCCACTCAGCAGGCCGCCGCGTCTGGCCTGAGCGGTGACCTGGCGGGCCGCGCCTGCGCTGTTCCCCGTTTCCTGCCTGGCTGGTGGCGGCAGCCATTTTGTTCATCCTCCTCCTCCTCCTGCTCCTCCTGGTTGGAGCGCAGTGTCCGGAGCAGGCTGGGGGGATAGAACCCGAAAGCAGGATTCGGTGCCTTTTCCTCTGACCCCATCTGGTGCCCGGAGTCCCCCTCCCCTTCCTCCCCACCCCCTCCCCTCCCCAACCCTGCCCTCCCCCTTGTCCCGGGATCACTCCGTCGCACCCACCATGATGGAAGACGACGGGCAGCCCCGGACTCTGTGAGTACCCGAGATGAGGGGTGCCTGGCGCCGAGATGCCCGGGCACCGCGGGACGCTGTGGGAGGGAACAGGAGAGCGGGGCCGAAGCCAGGACTTCCGGCGGCTCCCTGGCCCGGGTAGCGGGGACGCGAAGTGCATTCCTCATTTGTCCCCTTTTCCTTGGGAAGGAAGCCCTCCCTTCCCCCAATAGTCACTTCTTGAGGCCTGGGGCTTGTTTCGACCTTTTTCTCTCGTGCCCTTCTTTGCACACTTTTCCTAGGCTGGGTTTCTGCACAGCAGAGGCTGTCAGGCCCGGCAGAGGTCCTGCTCTGCTTAAGGGGCCCTGGGCTGGGCCGGGAGCTGTCCCCTTGGGGGCAGGGCCTGGTAGGGGTGGGACCGGGGGTGGGGCCGCATCTTGCGAGCCCCGAAGAATTAACACCCCTGTCCTCCGGGTCCTCTGCTCCATTCGCTCCCAGCTCTTCTCCCAAGCTAAGCTCTCGGAAGAAGCTGCACACTCTTCGGCGGCTCAAGCCCTTACTCTCTGCCCCCACGTGCCCCCGCCCACGCTGTCAGACACGCTCGCCAAGCGCCCGCTACTTTTGAAGTGCAAAAGGGATGCCTCTGGTCGCGGGAGCATCTTTCCCTTCTTGGATAACGAAGTTTACTTCGAGCTCTGCCTACGCTAAACGGACAACCAGTTGTCAAACTGCATTTGCCCTTTTGGTGTTAACTCTTTTAATATGTTCGTGTGTCGAGATCTTCAGAGTTGGATAAAATGATGTCTTTTTATCCACTCTTCGTTGTACGTCTTTTAAGCGCTTTTTCTCCTAGCTTGCTGTTGCTTTTTTACCTGGAGCCCAATCTAATGAATGAATTTCATCTTCCAACCGCTGATACGAATTTCCTACCTAATGAAGACTGATGACTCAGCATTTGCATTCTTTTTTCCGGATAGTGTGTCCCTCCTTTCTTTTTCCCTGCATTTTTTTTTAAGTCAGTAATTTCTAATTAAACGTTTAAGTTGGGCACCTTCGGTTTTCCTATCCTCCCGAAGCTCAACACACCTACCTCCAGTACAAGGAGTCAGATCGCTGCTTTGTTTTCTCTTGCCTCTGCCTGGTGTTAGGATCACAGTTCACCTGGCTCTGCTCTTTAACGGGGAAGGTACTTTTTGGGGAGTAGGTGAAGGTGGATGGGAACTCAGGAAGCTTGACCAGCTTCTCATCTCTTTAGTACTACCAAAGAAAAGTCCGCTCCGTAAAGTAGATATCTTTTCAGTATTGATCCAGATTTTTTTTTGTTTTGTTTTGGCGGGGCTTGCACTTTTTCATCCCTACTTCTCTGTGTCACTAAAGCGTTTGCCATCCTGTTTTGAGAATCTGAGGCCAACTTAAGGACATCAAATGCTTGAATGAAAAACCTGCTTAGTGAAACTTTGTTTTGTTCTGTCTTTCATTTCAGCCTTCTTTTCCCAGAAAAGAGAATTAGGACAAATTGAAATTTGTCTAACAACTCTTGGAGCCAAGGCCTGGTACTTAGTTAGCAGTGTGTACTTGGGCGGCAGCCTCTGGGAGAGCTGGATTCAGGGCCCAGCTAGCATGTATTTAAAAAGATAAAAGTTTACATTGTATCTAAAACTCTGAAATGTCATCATTGCATCATAATAGCTGCTGAATAATTGGTAGATGCTCATGGCATACTTCTCACTAACTATCTGTTCCTTATGAGGAGAGATTCTTGTTTTTGCCATGCTAAATAATATGCTATTTCAGTACTTTTAGTTCATGTACTTAACCAGCTTTGCATCTGCCTTGTCTTCATCTCCATCATACCTTAGACTTTCTCCAGTAGACTGATAAAGGTAACTTCTTTGTCGCTTATTTCATACCTCCGATTTCCCGGCTTCTCCAACACACTGAAGTGATCTGTGTTTACAGCTGTCTAAAAATGCCCCCACATAAGTAAGGAGACGTCCTGAGCCGCGGCACGCCGGTGTGTGAGCACATGCTTACTCTCCTGTCTTCTGTCTCCTCCTCTCCTCTCCTCATGGGAAGGGGTGTTTTTTTTTTAGACAAAGACTGCTCCATCTTCCTAGGTCTTCCCCCTGCAGCACTTAGCTCACTGCCTGGAAAATAAGAGGTATTCAAATATTTTACAATGATTATACTTCTTTTCATTAAATAAGTATTAAGTCCATTTTTAAAAACTCGTGATTGTAGGCAAGTATGACTGTCATCCGTACATGGTGCTGTCAGTTGATTTTATATATATATATATATTAAAACCTTCAAATCTAAAATTTTGAGGTAAAAGCAGATGTTTCACAACTGGGATTTTTTTTTTGGTCAGATTTTAATTTAAAAAATGCATAATTTTTTTACATGTTTATTTTGCATATTCTCAGAATTCTTTAGATACAAGTAACGTAATGAAAACTTGAACGTGACTTTAGAAGTTGATATCTACTAGGGTTTTATTTGTTTATTTATGGAGCTCCTTTTATTTTACATTGTGACTATGGATTAGTTTTTCAAGTGGCTAGTATGTTTTAAAATAATGTACTCTTAACAAAGCTTATCTTAAACTGTTCCTTAAAATGCCTGTGTGTTACTAGTGAGGTTTTTTTCCTGCAGACACACACAAGCTAAGACATATGGTTCTATCATCAGAAAACAATATGGTGTTTATAGCCTAGGTAGGTCTTTAAATATTCATTACCTACAGTATTACTAATTTATTTGATAGTATTTAAAGTGGTATAGAATTGCTTTGATGTTGAGCCTAAAGTTTTTCATATAGTTGCTTTAAAGATCTATTTTCTGATGCTCTCCATTCTTAATTGACGTTTTATTTGGGGGTGATGTGTGTTGGGTAACTTGTGATCTGAAGCAAACAAACGAGACAACGCCATGTGATGCTGGTGTTGGAACGAGACTGGCCAACACCGGCCTCACAGGGCCCACATTTCAGCCGTGTGGTGGGTGGCTCTGTGTGCAGTGATTGGAGCCATGGTATATCTGGGTCCGTAACACAACATTAAATGATCACGGTGTTCTGTGTAGTTACTTACTCAATCTCTCCGCTGTGCCAGAACGAGTAGGAATTGTGGATTTGGGATTATACCATGTTCTGCAATGCCATCTTTAAGGCTGTTCTTCCTGATACTCGGTCAAAAAAGGAGGAAATAAAACAAAGTGTATAAACTGAATAGCTAAGGACAAAAGCAGAAGAAAATACTATTAAATCCCATTATAAAATTGGCTCGCTATACCATGGATTTGGCTGTATTGTGTCTTTAATTAAGCTCTTCATTCAACTTAATTATATTCTCTGGTTCTTTAAAATATATGTATAAGTGTGTCAGTATATCCCTAATCTAGTTGGTCAGTTCCCTTGAATCTCCTGTACCTTTCCCACACCCTGCCTCCTACTTAAAATGAAATATTGACCGATCAGTCGATTCATAAGAGGCCCATTAAGGGTATGTTTGCAAAATCTTATATAAGAACTTATCAAGAACAAAAGCAAAAGTGTTACTTTATTAGAGAAATTTGGCTGCAAATGTTTTGTGGAAGCGCTGGTAATTTCAGCCGGTGGTAGGGCAACTCTTTTCAGAGCGAGAGCACATTCAATATTGAAAAAGTGTGGTTTGTCTCTTCTCTGAATGGCATGATGTTCTTAACTTAAAAATCTGCCTGTTGGGACACAAGTAGTTTGGCAGTGTGAACTTTTGACTGCTGAGAAACTGCCAAGTTTCTGGTCTCAAATTGGATTTGAACCCTGACATTAGGGATAAAGGCATCAGTTTCCATTCTTAATGCTTTAGTTTCTACAGTTCCTGTTCTTAGAAGACAAAATAGACCTAAGGTATGCCTTCTTTTTTTTTTTCCTTGAGTTAAAAATCTTTTTGGAATTTCCTAAGTGTTTACTGTTTGAATTGACCTCTCAATCCAAAAATTTGCCTTTTTCTGTTACTTTTATATATGTTTGTCAAGTAGAAATTTTATATTTAAACATTGGAACTTTAGAATATGTGACTGCTTCATAACCAGAGTGGAAAGAAGTTTGCTGTTTTACCCCAGAACTTTTAGTAGAGATATTTTGTGCCATTTCATGCTGTTCTAAACTCAGATTAACATTTTGCTCTTTGGCATGGGTGCTTGAAATGTAAGTTAATATATCTAAATGTGTCTCTAGAAATTCTTTAAAATCTCTGCTTGGAAATGGGTTGACTTGAAATAAAAATCGTATGGAACGCTAACAGCTTTAATTGTTACTGTTACAAATGGAAAGTAATTAATGCCCATGCAGCTTTTCCTGAACAAGTCAAATGTTCTAAACAGTAATGCAAATTTAAAACTACTTAAAATTTGTATATCATAATGATCATTGTTTTAACTTTGTTAGCTTCAGTGTGTGAAAATTAGTTTTATCCACACCAATTCTTTTAAAAATCAGCTAAGTAGCCTTTAGGTTGGCTGAGTGTAACACTTAGGAAATCAGGGTTACTTGTTCATTTTCTTTATAGGTAGGTCTGCAGAAAAGAAATTATCCCATGCACGCTTGCTCACAAACCCCTGTGGGTTAGAAGGGGACAGGCGGTCGTCTGGCTAGCTCCGAATCCTGCAGCCTGTCACTGTTGCTGGAAAAAGTGTACCCCTGCAAGGCCTGCCAATGGCTCTGCCCTGATTATAAGGGAAAGGTGGCCTGGCTGGGCCTAACTAGTTTAGTCTTCCCTTTAAGGAACATTAGGTTTTAGAGCATGTAAATTAAAGATACTAGTACCCATTGCAATGAAATTCTTAGATGAACTGGAAAATTGCTGTTCATTCCTAGTCAGTTAATTTTTTATGTTACACATATCCTTACCTTTCTCAGTCTGCTTTTCCCTTTCAAAGTGTTCCATCTTAAAGCGGCTCTGTATTTAACATGGTGACAAATGATGCAGAGCTACTTCGGTCTCAGTGCTTAGTGCCCAGCTGTTAACATGTTAGGAAAAGACTCCTTCCATATCCTTTCCAGAAGAAACTGTGTTAATTTGTACAAGTGTCATTTGTTCAGTGAGGTTTGTAACAGGCAGATTTTAAGAATTATACTCTGAGTACCAAAAAGACTTGAAAGTTTGAGAATTAAGTAAACTAAATTAGAATAAATCTATGGCACAAGAGAAACCAAGGTGGTCCTCTCTGAGTGGTGTTCTTTTTTTCTTCTCTCTTTTTAAAGAGTTTATCTGGGTTTTAAATGTCTTATGCAAAATATATATGTTCAATTTATAATTTAAAAAATTCCAATTATTTAAATATGCATAGTCAGAAGTATACCTGTGTTTGTCTTAAATTTTCTCTGAGTTTTTAAAGAAGTCTTTATATTTGCTTTATCTACATAAATGTGTATTTTGTGGATTCCGATGTGCTTTAGGCTAGGGAATGTTATTACTGTATTCTGCTTTTCTAAAACAAGACATAACATCAGTAGCAATTTTATTTATACTTTGGTTGAAGGTCTGAGGTAAACTCACATTATAGTCCTGTATATCTAATAATCAGGTGTTTTGATGAATCATTTTGTGTGTGTGATACTTTTTTTTTGAGATACATTATTTTGAATTGTGTTTCACACCCGAAATTGTAGTTATCTTGAGATTGGTTTAAATTTTTGTTATTTTTATTATAGCAAATAAGATGAGAACACACTATGCTTTTGTTACACAAGGTTACATTGATTTGTGTTTTATAAAGTGTTTTGAAAACACTCAGTGGGACTGAGTAGCCCTAGAGATGCCTTAGTGGCCTGAGACTGTTGCTTTCCTAAATAAGGACTAACCTTATTTTCATAGGGTCAGGATTAATTGGAAAATTTTTATTGAAGACAGAGCGAGTTAAAATGAACTGAAAGGTGATGCGTTAAATGATAACGCATTGGAGCTGAAGAAAAGAGCTACAAGAAAATGGCTGATGTTTTTGTTTTCTTGCCCAGATACGTAGGCAACCTCTCCAGAGATGTGACAGAAGTCCTTATCCTTCAGTTATTCAGTCAGATCGGACCCTGTAAAAGCTGTAAAATGATAACAGAGGTAAGATCTCCCCAGTTCCAGTGCTGACAGTGGGCTTGGTATTCAGCATTTTGAGATACTGAGTTGGTTTGTATTATTTTAAAATAACTTTTTAAGCCTCAAGTTATTCTGATGGAGAGATTTGAGTTTGTTGTATTGACTTATTACTTTGATCTGGCTGACAATCTAGGTTTGGAATAAAGTTTTATTTGCAAGGACACCTTATCTCAGTGTTGAAAAACTAGATGACATTTCATACAATTCAACAAGAGTGTTACGGATTCAGATAGTATGTGTTTAAGTTTAGGGATTGGTGTATGTGAAAGAACATCGGTTAGTATGTGCGGAGTGCAGCGCTATCGATCTTGTGCATTTTTAGTAAATTCTAATGACTGAGCTTTTGTAGGTAGGAATTTAAATTGTTAGCATAATAATTTTGTTTTCCTTTTTTTTTCCCAAAGAAAACTACTTTGGAAAGTGGTTATGACTCTGGCAGTATCCAGTGACACTGTTTCAGTTTATTCTCTTCCTCTTTGTTTAATCAACTCTTTTTTTTTTTATTTACTGTGTACAGGGTATAACGGGAAGTGCTAGGGAAGGAGTGGTGAATGAGTTTCCAGCCCCAGAGAGTTGTCCAGTCTAATGAGGGACACAGAGGAGCCCGAAGGCACTAATGATACAGGACAATACATGCTGTGGAGACCGTTTCAAGTGCGGTGGGAGCACCTGGGCCCAGCGCAGGCTGAGGTCTGGAGAGGCTCTTCAGAGGAGGCAGTGTCTGGGCTGAAGCTGAGAAGGGTAGTCATGGAAACTGGATAGAAAGGAATTAGAGGGAGAAGGGATTCCAGGTAGAGGGAGGAGTTGATCTAGTCTGGTAGACGAGTGGAAATGCTTGTGAGAGCAAGAGAGGGAAGGTAGACATTGTAGCATGCTTGGCGTTCCCAGTGGGACTGAGTAGCCCTAGAGATGCCAGGAGATGGGACAGGAGGGATTGGTAGCGACCAGAAGCTGCTCGGGAGTTTGGTTACATCCTGAGATGGGAAGTGTGGAAAACCTGTAAATTGGCCTTTTGACCTTCTTTCCTAATGATCCTCATTGGTCTGTTCTGATATATTATGTTTTCTCTCCTTCCTATCTTTGATTATTTCTTCACTCTTTTTTTTTCATTAATCAAAATTTATTTTGTGCTAGGCAGTATTCCAAGCCGGGACTATGACGAGAGTGGAACAGGTCTGTGATGAAGCTTGGAGGGTTGGTCTTTGTGGGCCAGGTGGTGAGGGAAGGTGTCACTTCTTTGAGCCGAGACAGGAATAACAAAATAGTACCATCTGTGTCAAGAGCCAGAAGCATAGGGCACAGCAAATGCAAAAGTGTTGAGTTGGTTGTGAGCGTGGTCAGTGGGATCGAAATCAGGATAGCTGGAGGCTGATGAGTGAGGGCACGCATTGGGAGATGAGCGGTGGGAAGGCAGGTTTGGAATCACACAGGGCAGTACAGTCCATGATAGAGACTGGATTTTACTCTGGATGCACTGGGGTTTTAAATAGGGTAATGCATTCTGGTGTGTATTTTCAAGTTACTCTATTTGGAGAATGGATTGTATGGGCAGGAGCAGAAAGAAGGAAGGCAGCTGGGTTATTTCACTAGTCTAGGTAAGAGGTGTTGTGGACTTGTTCTCTAGAATGGTAGCCATAAAAGCAGGTATATAAGTTGGAGGTACATTTTGGAGGTAGATACAACAGGAGTCAGTTGGCTGTGGGACATAATGGAAAAGAAGACATCAGGAATGACCCCGAGGTTCTTGTTTGTGTAGTTACATGGATAGTAATGCTGTTTATTTGCTAAAACGGGTGTGATGGGGGGAGGCGCAGGATGGCTGGGAGGGGTGGTGGAATCAGGGACTTCGTTTTGGCATCCTAAATTTTAGGTGTGCGTTAGATGGCTAAACGGGCTTTATATGTAGCCAGTTGGATAAACGAGCTGGGAACTCTAGAAAGCCGATCTGGCGATACCAGCTTGCAGCAGTATCTGCAGCCATGGGGCTCGGTGGCGGCTAGTTCCTGGATCCGAGGGAATGTTGATGGAGAAGACGGGAGGGGCCCAGGAGCTGTGCAGCGCTCAGTCAGTCAGAGTCTGAGTCCAGGAGGAAGGACTGCCTCTTAAAAGACATGACCCCCCCCACCCCCACCTCCAGTGAGGAAACAGAAGAGCCAAGAGAGTCTAGTGGTGTATGAAGAAGAATACTTAAAGGAGGGCGGGGCGGGGTTGCAGCGTGTTCTGGATTCTGCCTGCAAGTCAGGATGAGGACAAAAGAGGGATCACAGGAGGTGGCAGAGGTCATCGGTGACTTCCACATGACGTTTCCATTGGAGTGGGTTTAGGAGAGAATGGGATGTGAAACACTGGGCAGAGTCACTAGAAAACTTCTGTGAAACATTTGATAAAGATTTAGTTTTTTTAAAAACCTGCAGGTACTGTGATTTGAGAGGTAGAAGGATTTGAAATGAACTTTCACATCTTATCCAAATTCTACAACTCCCACACCCGAATTTGTAAATAGTTGTAAGACCTCATATTTCTCTGTCCTGACCTTTGTGTTATCCAACAAAAATTGGTGAGAACAGTAATTAAGGACTCAGGTGGTTTTTAGTGGCACTTGGCAGTGGTGTGAATGGGGAGCTTCCAAGGGCATGAATTTGACTGGAGACTGGGCATCTAGTTTCCTTTCATGCATTTCATTGCAGCATATGAAAAATTCTTTCTTCCCCTTAGTTTTATGATTTTTTACTTTAGATACTGTTTATTTTAGATTCTAGCTTTCCTTGTATACTATAATAAATGTACAGTATTCGGTGTAAGGCAGACATTAAAGTTTTTTGATACATGTGTCAGCTGGGATGTGACCGGAGTCAGTGGGGTCTTAGATGGGACGCAGTGTGGTGTGAGTGTGTGTGTGTGTGTGTGTGTGTGCACGTGTGTGCGTGCACTGAGGGGTCCAGCCTGCTACTGCCTAAGTGAACTCCAGTCAATGTGAATAGGCTGGTTCACTGAAGCCTGTGGCCGCGGGTCTGCCGCTGGGCTCCCGTCTGTCCGCTGCGGTTGTCAGTTCTCCGTAGGCAGTGCAGGGCACAAAAAGGGAGCACTGATGTCGGGGAGCACAGTTCTAGCTTGTTTGCCTTTAAACCTTGTCTTCAGTGAATGTTAGTAGTAAATGTCAACTTTTTTACAAGAGGAATCTAAGTGCAGTCGTTATTTGGAGTCTTCCCCCATTTTCTTTCTCTAATTCTTAAGAACAGTGTCATGTGGCTGTGGCAGTAGGACTTTGTGTGGGAGCCCATAGTTTTCTTGTCGGTTTTAATGATCGTGCTTTTCTTCCCCTCAATGAAATGCCTCTGGTTGCTTCGCCACTGTTGCTTTAAATGGCTTATTTTGGATTTTTCTTCTAAAACCTTCCCAGAGTGAAAAACTGTGGTTGTTGAAAAAAGCTCTGTTTTATCTGGTATTTTTGTCTTTTGTAAGTGCAACTAGAATTCCACATTTTAAATATTATTTTTTTAGGGCATTTTACCTGAATCTTGATGAATGTTTTTAACCTTACTTAATATATATATATATATATATATATATTTGTACAGTTGTATAGCTCTCCGATGCAGGCTGCAGTTTTATAAAATTTACTTTCACTTAGGTTTTTGGGTGATAAGAGTTGCTATAACAGAAGTACTATTTTCTCATCATCTTTCTAAATACTTAATTTGCCAATTACTGTCAAGCATAAGGTAATAAAGATTTCTTGGCAGTCCTTTTGTGATATAAAATAGTAGCTTTGTACTGAAATATTTTATTCAAAGGCACTTTTAGAATTTTTTTTCTCTGTCACTGGTGTGTTCCCTGGTCTTTGAAGACCAACTTCAAAAGTGTATAGAGTCTCCAGTACATTAAAATATTTGGAAAGATGGGGAATTTGTTTCAATAGCTTGTTTTCTGAACTTTTTCAAGTTTTATCCTCATTTCTCCCTGATCTATAAAAAGTACATAATCTCATCATATGTAGTGCTAGTCAGGAGTAAAGGTTGTAAAGTTCGTTCATTTCTATATTTTTTATAGTCATGGCCTACAGTTAATGAAGGATTATGATGCATAAGTAGAATTCATCCTTTTGAAAGTGATGTTGGGAGAGAAGAGCAGTGGTAGGGAGTGGTCCTCCTCCATCGACTCCAAGCCCGAAGTTTCGTTTGGTCTCATATGAACTCCTGTTTTATATTTACCACACTGCACTAGGATTCTGTATGGGATTTCATATTGACAGTCATGCTTCTGTGCTGCTTTGACAGTCCTGTTGAAGGACAGCAGTGCCCACCTGTGATGTAAAGTCGGGTCTAGCGGTAAAGCTTTTTTATAGAGTGTTAGGCTCTCATAAGCTTATGCAATCGCATCTGTACATTCCTAGCTGTCAGTAATGTTTTTTCCTGGATTTTCTTCTCAGCAACCCGATAGCAGAAGGGTCAACTCTTCTGTTGGATTTTCTGTTTTGCAGCATACAAGCAATGACCCATATTGCTTTGTGGAATTTTATGAACACAGAGATGCAGCTGCTGCATTAGCTGCTATGAATGGGAGAAAAATTTTGGGAAAGGTAAGATAAGAGAATGATTGTATGAGTATATGTATTTGCATGTCACTAGTGGGCATTCCTTCTTAGCAGGTTTTTAATGAATACCCAGCTCTGCTGAGTGATGGTTTTGCTTTATTCAGCCTAGTGCTTTTACAAATATTATCCTGCTTGATAAATGATTTTAAAGTGGTGAGTGTTACTATTTTTAATGACATGTTTAATAATTGTATTAAATATAATCTTTATTTTAGGAGGTCAAAGTAAACTGGGCAACAACACCAAGTAGCCAGAAAAAAGATACTTCCAGTAAGTACACCTGCTGCATTTTACTGTGGAAGAGTTCTGAAATTACCCTGGCAGCGTTACCAGCTTACATAGGGTTTTTCTTCCCTTAATGTTGCCTGTAGATGGTTTAGCAGCTGACTTCTTAAGTGTTTGATTACCAAATGCTTTGATTTCAGATCACTTCCATGTGTTTGTTGGGGATTTGAGTCCAGAAATTACAACAGAAGATATCAAATCAGCATTTGCCCCTTTTGGTAAAATATCGTAAGTATCATAATTAATATTATACTCAATAGTGACAGGCAAATTGTGTATAATTAACCCGTATTAGAATTAAGATTTTCTTTCCCTAGTTAGTGTGATTTTTTTGTTTGTTTCCTTATTTTTGATTGGTAGATGTTGTTGAAAATGTTAATGTCATTTTACTGTTTTGGGGTCTTGTTTTTATCTAATCTGTATAATATGTTAAAATTTTTAAGTGATTCTGTTTGTTATCTTTGAAGCAGATGTTTGGGTGGTAAAAACTATCATAAAGTTCAACTTTTTGTCAAATATTTTCAGTATTTGGTGGTTAAAGATAATGGGTTAACCAAAAATAAATGTGATGTATACTGTGTATTAAACTTTTTATAAGTGGGGGAAAATAGATAAATTTTGGGGTATATTGTGGTTAAGTTGGAAATGTGTATGTTTAATTATAATGATAAATGTTTTACTATTTTAGCGGAAAAGCAGTACTATTATAGTATTAAAATGTTTCAATGTCTGAGCCATAAATTTGGGATTAATTAGTAGTTTGTGGGGGGGGTGTTGTTTTTCCTGTGTGGTTTTTTTTTTGTTGTTAGTGGTATTTTATTCTGCTAGTTATGACCCAAATGTGGTTTGATTTTTTAACAAACTTTATGTTCAAATTTCACTGTATGTTATTTGATCAAATATATTGGAAAATTTTAAATGGTTATGATTCTATAAAATGTTTATCCTAATTTATCTTTTGATTAAGATCTGCTTATCTTATGTATTTCCTGTAGATGTAAATTAAATGTTCTAATATTACTTTACAGGAATATGTTTCAACTAAGAACAACAATATCTTTCTGTGTAAAATTTGTTGTTCTATAGATTTAATTTATTTGAGAGAAAGATTTAATTGTTAATTTTCTGTTTTGATATTTGCTTTGCTTTTTAATCTTTAATGTGGTAAGTAGTACTGTTTTAAAAATTAGTATAACAAATAATACAGGTTGCTGTTTTTCGATCTTTATTAATACCTGAGACCTGCAGTTTTTCTAAAGTCCAAGTCACAATTAAAAGTAATAGCATTCTGGTTATTTTGCAGAATTGCTCATAAGAATGGACAGGATCTTGAAGGCTAACTGCAAGGAACTGTGCACACTGGAACTCAGTTGTAGATTTTTTTCTCATTTCTATTTATTCTTATTATACATTATTTATATATACATATTTTAGTATTTACATTTTAACATTCTATATTCAGTGGAGTTCTATATTTCCAATCATTTTAACTTACTCACTAAAATTTCTGTGTAAATTTGTTGTTTTCGTACTGGTGTGCTTAGCATTGTTGTTAGTTTTTTATTCTCCTTTCTTAAATTTCTGAAAATGTCAATTTTTCAAAATTTACAGCTGCCCAAACTCCAAAATGATGATAGAGAATTGACCAAGAAAAATAAAGAAATCTGTTAACAGGCCATGTATGCCTTTTTAATTCCTATTTTTTCCTCTTTTTCAATTTTTTAATATTTTATATATTTTGTATCACTAGGCAGAAGACATTTAACTATTTAGAGATTGCATGGTAACGTAGTTAGCATTGTTACAGTAATTTATAGAATCAGTAAACCTTAGAGGACACTAGTCAATAGAGTATTAGAAAAGGAAACTATTGTTCCTATTAATCTTCAGATTTGAGCATTTAGTTTAGAAAGCACAGGCTATTTGATTAGGTTGCATGTTTATTACATGTTTTTGTCCTACTGCTTTTTTCTAACAGGTAAAGAAGCGTTAGGGAGAGTTCAGGAATGGCTGTAGTTAAATAGGGCTAACTGAAATTTTATTTAAAAAAATGCTCACAATACAGTGTGTGTGGTTCCTTTTAGTTTTTATTTGGAGAATAACTCTTACTTCCCTCATTTAGCTGTGCTTCTTTTCACAGGGATGCCCGTGTAGTTAAAGACATGGCGACTGGAAAATCCAAAGGCTATGGTTTTGTGTCTTTTTATAACAAACTGGTACGTTCTTTCAGCTCAACTTAAATTAAATACAGAATTTAGTCATTAATTAATCTGAAACTCAAATATTCTGAGATGTTAACTACAGACAGCTTTGATGTAATTTTTTGTGTTGTAATAATAGAGTATAATTCACTCTCTTTCCACAAAGCGTGGAAATAAACAGCTGGTTAAAAAGGAGAGCATCAGAGCCGCCTTTGCGCTTTGGCGAGGGTAAGGTGCAGTGTGGAGGGCAGATCACCTAAGTGAAAATTGAAGCAATTCGTCTTGCTTTTTTTTTTAAGAAAGAGGTACCGAGATACCTCAGCATTTGCATTAACTATAATATCAGATATTAAAGTGGGCTTTATTAGCATTTTAGAACCATTTCTAAATTAAACTTAAATTAGCTGCATTTTATTGAAGCAGTCAGATAAAGGATAGGAGTCATATACTTTGCTTAGATTTATTGAAAATTCAAATTAATTCTGAGAGTCTAAACTCATTTTTATTGGCAGTTATTTTATAGTATTCTACAACAATGCAGAGACGTCTTCTGTTTTAAAACGAGTTTTTAATCTGTATTATAGTTATAATCCATTGCTACTAGAATGTATATTTGGGGGGGTAGGTTATTTAGGGCATAAAATTATGGTCTAATATATACTATTCAGTAAAAGTTTTTATATATCTTTCAGTAAAAGTTACATTACAAATAATCCATAAAATTAAGATACATGGGAGGAAAAAACTGTCTTAATCTGCTTTCCTTTTGTGTCTGTGTAGTTAATGGGATTATGATAGATTTCCCTGATGCTTAACTGCTGTCCTGGTATTTTGAAATCTGTAAATAATAATAGTTTTTATGAATCACTTGATTTAAATAATTTTCTTGCGGTACTGGCTCAGTTTTGTTTAGGATGCCTACTAACTCCACCTATGATAAAATTTATTGGATCCAACAGTGCCAGCATTTTATTTCATCTGACTGGGTGTATGCACCATTATTTTCTGTTTGTAAGTGCTTTTTCTTTCTCCATAGGATGCAGAAAATGCAATCGTGCATATGGGAGGTCAGTGGTTGGGTGGTCGTCAAATCAGAACCAACTGGGCCACACGTAAACCACCTGCACCTAAAAGTACACAAGAAAGTAAGAAATGTCTGCTGTATATGTTGAAATTATGGCTGCTTTACATGTATTAGTATAGTCTTAATTTCTTAAAAATTTCACTAGCGTGACAAGACTCATTTCATCTTGAGTATAATTGTTTAAAAGTTATTGGGCTTTGATATAAGTGTATTTGGAGCTGTGAACCAGCCAATATTATAGATCAAATCACAGTATCAAGAAAAAAATTCCATCCCCCCCCCCAAATGGGGCATATCTTACTAAAATATAGTGGTCGGGTTTATAACACTGCACAGCCATCAACATTCTTGTCCTCTCTGTGTATATAGATAACACTAAGCAGCTGAGATTTGAAGATGTAGTAAACCAGTCAAGTCCAAAAAATTGTACTGTGTACTGTGGAGGAATCGCTTCTGGGTTAACAGGTACAGTGTTTGGTTTTCTAACCTCCTCCTCTGGAGCTTCATCACCATCGGTACCAATTTCATGATAAACATGAACCTCAGGTCATCTTTTTGTATGTTTTTTGCTTTTCAGATCAACTTATGAGACAAACGTTCTCACCATTTGGACAAATCATGGAAATAAGAGTTTTTCCAGAGAAGGGCTATTCATTTGTCAGGTAAAATTTTACTTGCCGTACTACTACTATTACACGTGATCCATTCCTTTTGGTGGTGTTGGTTGATCCCCCCCAGGTATCAGTTTGTTTTGATAGTATTTCTGTGCATTGTAGAACTTCAAACTACCTATATGCTGTACTGTAGGGTGCTGATACCAAGGTGGGGCCTGTAAACTAATGAGTGTCTATTATTTATTGTGTTAAGTTCTTTAAAAAAAAAAGACTCCAAAAAAACCTTACTTTTTTTTCTCTTAGATTTTCAACCCACGAGAGTGCGGCCCATGCCATTGTCTCGGTGAATGGCACTACGATTGAAGGACATGTTGTTAAATGCTATTGGGGTAAAGAATCTCCTGATATGACTAAAAACTTCCAACAGGTAATTCGATTTTTCACAGCACTTTTTACATTTTCTATCTTACATATCTACATAAGTGCTTTAGAAACTGTGAAACAAAAAAATTAGGCATATATCTGCTTTCAGTTGATTTTATTAATGCTATTTCAAAAGTGATTATTTTGTGGTATTAACTGAATCTTAATACTTTCTTTTTGCAGGTGTCACCACCCCAATAAACTTAGACAATGATAAATAACAGAGTCCTATTCACATAAGGGTGCTTAGTTTTTCTCTTCCTTGTCTCCCACTTTCTTCAAATACTGTGTTCTTACCTGTTCCCTAAAACAGCAATTTGCTTTGTCCTAGGTCGACTACAGTCAGTGGGGCCAGTGGAGCCAAGTCTATGGAAACCCACAACAGTACGGGCAGTACATGGCGAACGGGTGGCAAGTACCGCCTTATGGGGTATATGGGCAGCCGTGGAATCAACAGGGATTTGGAGTAGAGTAAGTTTGGGTTTGTCTGGTATAAAAACAGATGCGGTTCTGACGAGAAATAAAAAAGGGTGTTTCCCTAGGGAGGATCTATTTCAGTTAAATATACTGAACTATTTGGAATTATAAGCATTTTAGAAATCTTATGAGAAATGACACATGATGCTAAATTTGTTTCTTATTACCTAGGTGAAAAGAGAGATTGGGGTAACATTTGGCGTGTCCTACTACCTCCATAAGCAGTTGGTAGAATTTGATGTAATGTCTGACATACTATTTTATCTACTTGCTTATTTTTGTATGGAGAAGATTTTGTCTTGATAAGTTCAGAAATTTAATGATTTTTATCTGTTGGCTTGTGTGAGAAATCTGAGAGAGTTACCTGATTAAAAAAAAACAAAGCTTGCTTCCCTGGCCGGGTCGCGCAGGTGGTTAGAGCACGGTCCCTACGTGCCAAGGTTGCAGATTTGACACCCAGTCTGGGCGCGTACAAGAATCAACCAATGAATACGTAAGGAAGTGCAGCAACAAGTAGATGTTTCTCTCTCTTGCTCACTCTCTAAAAATAAATACATAAACGTATTTAAAAAGAACTTTTTCTTCTTTGTTGCTAGAGTGGGCTGGTCCCTTGTACTTTTACCCTCCTAGGTCAGCCCGCGTGTTCCCTCTGCCTTCTCTTTTCAACATGAAATTGTATTTTTAAAATTTCTTGTAGTTTTATATTGTCATGTGCAGGTAGATGATGTGTTGAATCAATTTGTCATAGTTTTCAAAATTGGTTTTGAGATACTCTTCAGAGAAGTCATGTGTCGTGGTTATTAACAAAAATTTAAGACCAATATTACAATACGTATTCTACATGTATGGCTATGCAGCTTTTTTTTTCACGCTTTATTACAGGTTTGTCGATTTCTCGTCTATTCTGTGATTTTGCTCTGCTTGATTTTTATGTACACGTATAGATAATTTTTCCTTTGTGTTTGCTTAAGATTTTCTTTTTTCCTTTCCAAGTCAATCACCTTCTGCTGCTTGGATGGGTGGATTTGGTGCTCAGCCTCCCCAAGGACAAGCCCCTCCTCCCCCCGTAATACCTCCTCCTAACCAAGCTGGGTATGGTATGGCAAGTTACCAAACACAGTGAGCTGGGACTCGAGACACAGGTGTGATTCATGATCGCTTCAGTTTCCTGTGACACTCTGAAGACACGGAAGTAGACATCGGAAATGGAAATATTTATTTTAAAAATTGAAATGTTTGGAACCTTTAGCACAGCTTTGCTTTGGTGAAGGACACATGTCTTCTAGTTCTGCCTTTTTAAGTTTTTGTTCATGATGGATATGAACATGATTTTTCTTTGTGTACAAAAACTAAAATAAAGTCAATAAAGACAATTCTGACTACAAATTTTGATATAATAGGAAAATGGGTAATTACATTTTGATTATTAGATACTATTCCATTTTTATCTTGCTGTTCAGTATTTTAACTCACTGTTTTTAAAAGAGTGAAAAAAGGGAGGATCGTGAACAACTGGGAATCACATATAAGTTCATCCTGAGCCTTGGTATTCCCCTCCCCTCCCCTGAGGTGGACCACATTTGAAGTCAGCAGGAAAAAAATGCCATTGAGAAGAAATGCGTGGTCTTGGAGTCGCATTGGAGGAAGTACTTTATGCTTAAAGAAACTGAAGCCAGACTGATAAAAGAAATTTTGCAGCCTAAATAAGGAACAGCATTGAGTTACTTGAGCAAATATCGGTGGTCCACATTAAGACATATTTTTAAGAATTTAAGAAGTGTTCATTATTAAAACTGTAGTAAATTACATTTCATTTTTGGGGGGAAATTTCAAGTATGGTGTTTGTATTAAAGTCAGACATTCATACTTGTGCTTTTACATGAAGTTTAAATGATACACATTGTAAATATTAACTACAGTGTTTAAAAAGCATGCTTCACCATAGAAGTAGCGATGTACTTATTGGAAGTAACACTTAACACAGTCCACTGCGCTGAAGGCAGTGGGTTGATGAGAATGTTTAAGACTGACATTTCCAAGGTTGGCTACTATGTAAAATTAAAATTATACAAATTACAGAAAAAGCCTTAATTTTAATTTCATACAAATCTTTGATGCATTAGTATTTTAAAATGTCATTGGAAATTAGATTTTTTCTTTTGATTTTTTTCCTTTGCTTTACATCATTTGGTATGTAAATACCTTGATTAAAACCTTATAAACTATTTCAAGGTTCCTATAAATTGTATAATACAAGTGTTTTTTAAAAATCTTGGGGTGTTTTTTAAAATTAGATATATTTTGCCCAAGAGTTTTTTAAATAAGATTGCTAAAACATTAGACCATTCAGTGTACCAATTTATAATTGGATCTTCAGCTTAAATAGTACGCAGAGCTGTGACTTTTATTTTTAATTAAATGGCTTTCCTTGTGTGGGTGGCGTGCATGGGGTGACAAGCCTGAACAGAGGCGGAGCCGTGTGCGTGCAGAGTCTGTAAATGAGTCCGTTGGGGAGGTGCGATTGGAGTTTGCCGCTGAGGTGTTTTTCAGGCCATGTGCATAAAATCTGCCTCAAATTTTTATCATACTAGAAATGTAAAAGAGAAAATCCTATGTATTTGAATTCTGACAGCTAGGGGGTGCAAGTGTGTAGGCAGTATCTGTGCAGTGTCTTGAGGCCTGTGCACAGAAATGAGAAAACTTTTTTGACAAGTAGTAAGTTGCAAGTAATACCCGCAGATGACTGCTTAAACTTATGTCTTACAGTTTGCTTTGGAATAATGATGGTTGTATAAATTGGTAACTACAATAATTTTGGTATTTTCCTTCTTCCCCACTTAGAAATACAGCCAAATGTTCTTAAAGCTGAGGGTGAACGGAGTGGGGAGTCCGTCTGTGGACCAGTTTTCCATGGCTCGCTAGTGTTAGCTGCAGCGGCCCTCTGCTCTTTTGTTACAGAGTTGCCCCTTTCCACTTCTCTTCGTGCTCAGTCTTTGGGGGTGTTGTGGGAAAGTTATATTTTATAAGGAAAACACTCATATCAATTATGCCTCCTAGTTAAAAATTTCTTGAATACATGTGAAACTTGAACAATTAAAGACATTTTTTAATATATTGCTAAAAGCCTATTAAATTCTCAGTTTGCCTTTTTTGGTCTGCCAGTAAATTGAGTAGCTTATTGCGATAACAGCTAAATACAGCTACAGTGTTTCCTAGTTGTACATTCTGTGAGTTAATAAAAGTATAAGGACTAATTGTATTGCCATAGTAAACATATGAAGTGTCCTTTGTCTTAATCTGAAAGAGAACCAGATTTCATGATCAATTAAGTTAACAGAAGTATCTCAGAGTGAATGGGTTTTTTAAAAAAACATGAAGCTACTTTTACCCAAGTGATATGCGCCATTTATTTATTTTTTTATTGCATTTTTCCATCACCACTCATTCCCTTACACCCCCTTTTCCCCTGAAGTCAGCACACTTGTCCATGTCCGTGAGTCCCCACTCCTTTTCGAAATGCCCCATTTTAGAATACAGCTGGCGAGCTAGCAGACTGGTAACAGTCTGTGCTCTAAGTCAGTGCTCGATCGGATTTGAGCCCAATAATCATTGCCTTTTCCACGCTCGTTTAGAGCAGCAGAGATTCTTTGGCATGCAAGATATGTCTCGTATTTTGTAACTATTTCGAGATGGGTTTGGTGATGTATCTTTGACTGCCGTCTTTAATAAATCTCTCTACTAGTATTTCTCCACATGGCATTCGCACTTGATTTTGGTGTCTGCTGGCAGTGAGAGGCTAAAAATGACTGGCCAACTTAAGCCAAAGCTGTAAACCATAGTTGAAGTAAGTCTTTCAATAAAGACTAGACTGGATGATAAGTGGCCTTTTCTTATTGTCATTTATTATGTAATTATTCCTTCCAGGCTGCCATGAAATAAGCAATTTTATTAGGAAGGCATGTGGAGTACACATATTCAGGACTTGTTTCTGTGTTCTATATAAGCATTAAAAGTCCATTCGCTTATTGGTTCCTGACCGGCGTGGCTCAGTGGGTTGGGCATCGACTTGCAAAGCTAAAAGGTCACAGGTTTGGTTCTGGTCCGGGCAGGTGCCTGGGTTGTGGGCCAGGTCCCTGGATGGGGCCCTGCAAGAGGCAACTGACAGCTCTTTCCCTCCCTCCCCCTCTAAAAATCAATAATAAAAAAGTGAAATCTTAAAGCTTTAAAAATGCATTGGCTTTGTTGAAGTAAAAATTTCTAGATATGGAGGAGTAGAAACATATCCTTCTGGAAATGTGTGCTCTGTTGAATATTAATATAGTAAAAAACCTCAATTTAGAGTCCACAAACGGAAAACATTATTTCACCCTACCTAGGTTGATCCTTGGTAGTGAGTAAAGATTGCATTTGACAGAAAATAAGAGTTCAGTAAATTATCTAGACCTTTTTGTGGCAGGTATGCCCGATTTAAATCTCACTTATTAAAGTCAGCAGTTGGGCCCTGGGTGCTGTGGGTGAGCGGATTGTGTGCTGGCCTGCAAACCTAAAGTCGCTGGTTCAGTTTCCAGTCAGGCCATGTGTCTGGGTTGCAGGCCAGGTCCCCAGCTGAGGGCCTGCCAGAGGCAGCAGAGATGAATTTCTCACACATCAGTGTTTTTCCCCTCCCTTCCTTCTCTCTCAAAACCAAATCCTCTAAAAAATAGCATTTGGGCTTCTACTTGGCAATATATTAAACATTGAACTTGCATTTTTAGTATGCATTAGAAAGAAAAGAAAGACCTAGGTTTTTACTAATAATTTATGTAAGCCTTAAATGGTCCAAATGAGCAAGTTTTGTTAAATATAAATTCTCCTACTGTATAGTAATAAAATGTCCTACTTAATTGTGTTCAAATAGGTTAATATGAATTAGATGGTTATATGCTATTTTTAAACAAGGAAGTATGAGTAATTATGACTTCAAAAAATGTGTTCTTCCCAATTGTGTAGTATTTAAATACTATATTAATACAAAATACGGGCTTCTTAAACTGAGTCTGTTTTGAAAATTAATGCAGATAGGTTAAAAACTAATTCACAAGGTCCATTGTATAAATGTCTCCCAGGGACAAGAATGACTTGGTTTTAGAATTGCCTAAATGTGAAGGTAGTTCAATTTCTATTTAGGAAATAGAGAAGGGTGAAAATAAATAATATTTATCTTAGGCAAAGAAAGGGGAGGGGCACTAACAGTAATTGACCTTTGGTCAAGTTAGGCTTTTGTTCAAGAGGAGAGATTAATCCACACGACACTTGTAGTTTGGTTTTTACACAAAAATGTCAGAGTAACGGTTGATTAAAGGTGTGTATCTAATGATTTCCTGAATATTCTAACTCAGTTGTAGCACACAAACTAAATTTTAACTTTTCCAAATGTTGGGTTTTTTTTTAAATTATTATTATTTAATTGACTAACCGTTGCATCTCTAAGCTGTCCTCTGGAAAAGGGATTCACACCCACTATCAGCATCCTGACATCAGCTTGGGAAGTTTACCAGACATGACCAAAATGGGAGTGTATCGGGTAGCTGTTGCAGGAGAGCCAGGATGATTGTGTGTTGGAAAGGAATCCGTCCATTGGTTTTGCTGCTGGGCTTAGCTTGCCTGTGGACTCGGCTTCATTCTTGTGCACTGACGAAGGGTGTGCAGAGAGCTGGGTTGTCAGGGAGCGCTGTAGAAGTGCGTTGTTAAGGTAAATCAGGTTTTGTTACACACCTTACTTGCCCAGCTGATTTTTAAAAAAATTTGTTTGTTTTAGGTTTTCTGTGTCTTCTTTTTTCCTTGGGTCTTGGTATACCAATGAAGACCTTCTGGACAAAATGGACATGAAATATGTAGCCACATGCAACTCTGCCTGTTCAGAGGATGGATACTAATATTGTATAAATTTCAGATTTTTACGGTTATGTAACTGGTTGAGTTAGGAGTGGAATGGTTCAATTCATGAGTTGGATGTGATTGATAATGATTACCTTTGCTCACAAAAAATAACTTTGCTAACATAAAGTTAATTCATAAGTCTTAACAGAGCTACACAAAATTGAAAATGCCCACTAAATACATTTGAGTTTGCTTCTTGTCGCAAAAAGATTTTTAGCATATTTCCTTCGGCTTGGTTATATGTTAGCGTAAGGCCTGGTTAGATCCAGGCCCATCTTATCAAGAAGACTAGGAGACTCACCAAGTTTCTGAAAATAAAATATTACAGACATCTTTGCTTGACTTACAGGCCCTGATCATTTTTATTCAGTTTTCTTAAGATGTGTTTTTATTAGCGTATCTTGTGTATTAGAATGCCGGGCAAATGCTGCTCTTTCAAAATGCTACCTTTGAG